GATCATCATTCTCATGCTGAAACAGACTATTTTGATCATTCGCAGCATTGAAATCATACGAAAATGTATTCCAATAGATGATCATATCGATTTTCACAAAGTAATTGGGCGTTTCGTAGCTTTGCTCAGTATTGTGCATGCTGCTGGGCACATAGGCGACTTTGCACTTTTGGCTAGAAGCGCAATAGAACCAAGTAAGAAAGATTCTTAATTAATATTGCCAGTGATCAGTGGCTTCATATTCGATTTCAAAAATAATGCATGAACGCAATTCTGAGTTTACCCTTTTTGTTTAGGATATACGTTGTGGGAATATATGGTAAGATTAAATGGAAGCTTAAATAAAATATTGTGGAACGCAAATAGATTTTCGAAGAAAATAGTGGGTGTAATTTTTAAGTCGAAGTTTTTGCGACTTCCCATCCTCACCATTACAGACCATAGCAATCAGCTCTCCCCCTCCTTCCCCCCTCCCCCCTCCCCTTCATTACAGACTTGAACCATCGAGGACAACAGGCGTCAGACTTTCTAGACTTTGTTTGCAAAATTGATCGATTTATCTTTCGAAAAAAATAATGAATGTCATTGTTCGTAAGTTGATTAAGATATATAATAGTACGTGAAGATTTGCTGTAGATATCATGTATATGTAAAACAGACTTATTCGCCATTTAATTCAGTGACAACTATAATAATGTTGAATTAACAAAAACGGATTTAAAAAAAACGAAAAAAAGCAGGCAAATAATAGCAATGCAAATAAAAACTAGGGTGCCCGTAACAAAATGAAAAAAATTCTGTTTGAAATGCAAAAATTAAAGAGATTCTTACTTTTGTGATCGACCATCATGCAAAACAACTTGTCTAGAAGAGACTTTTCACTTTACGTATTTTTTGTTAGTTTGATGAGACTAGAGAATATGTGTGAGTTCCACGTCTCAGCTCGAAAGAAGCTGCATTAACAAGCTTTTTAACAAATTCATTTCAGTTTACCACACGTCCTGGTATCGGTTGGGTCGGACATTTTGCATCGTTAAGTGGTGTCATTCTTTGTGTAGTCCTTGCTGTAATGACCATAGGGTCTATGAAATGGATTCGACGAGGTGGTTACTTCCAAGTAAGACTCTTTTTGGTCTTCATCCTTTTCACTTCACATCTATATCTCTGCATACAGATCTTCTATTGGACTCATTTATTGTATTGGGCATTCTTCGTCTTTCTTATCGTTCACGCGCAAAACACCTGGGTGAGTCAATTGCTTATTTTAATAGTCTTCGATTAAGGTCTATGTCGTGGATTGATCATTGTAGAAATTTGTCATTGGTCCATTGTCGATCTTTGTACTCGAAAAACTCTATTCCATTCTAACACGTTATTCGTCTTATTCAGGTCGAACCTACATACAGTCAGCCACTATCGAACCATCTAATGTGATCAGTTTAAAAATACACCGACCGAGAATTTTCAGGTAGGTCCATCATTCTTCTTTAGATAATCATTTTTCTGCTTTCGATCGATATGAACTAATTTCAATTAAAGATTTCGACCAGGTGATTATATCAACATTAACTTGCCTCGTATAGCTCTCTATGAGTTTCACCCATTTACGATCAGCAATAACCCAGAAGAGACAAACTACATCACGGTACATATTCAAGCGATTGGTGACTGGACGAAACGCGTTTATGAATACTTCAAGCACATGTCCGAAAGTGATTGGAACGAAACTCATATCAAAATCTACCGTGCCGATCTTGATTCCGCCCGAGCCATGGCTGAACAAATGTGTGATAGAGAGACTCAATTTACAGATGCGAATAGCAATACAAGAAATGAAAACGGCCCCAGAAGTGTCTCAACGTCACGACAAATCCAACGAGAAACGGTGATAATCAATGGTCCTTATTCGTCATGTGCTCGATATGTCTTTGATTGCAAACACGCGATATTGATTGGGTGTGGCATTGGCATCACACCCTATGCTTCGATACTCTCGAGTCTAATGGCTCAATTTCGTGCATCGCGTACCATCTGCAAACGATGCCAATGTGTCAATTACAATCATAAAAATCTAGTAGAGAATCATCGCTTGAACAGGGTTGATTTCATCTGGGTCAATCGAGATTACAAGTGCTTTGAGTGGTTTCTTAATCTTCTTCGTCAGTTTGAAGCAGAACAAAATGCCTATTTAGACTCTAACCCCGATGAACAACGCTTTCTCGATATTCATCTCTTCTTTACTGATATCAAACATGATGAGAATATTGGCAATGTTCCGTTGTCCATCGTAACGAAAATTTGGACTCAAGCAGTTGGAGAAGACATTTTCACCAATCTTAAAACGAAGACTCATATCGGTAGACCAAATTGGCACGACTTGTTCAAAAGGCTCACCTTGGGCGAAAATGTCTCGACTGGCAATGATGTGAATGTGTTTTTCTGTGGTCCATCGACAATGGGCGCCAGTGTTCATGAATACTGTGACAAATATGGATTCCGTTTTTTCAAAGAAAAGTTTTGATTTTCATCTTTCTGGCTCAAGAAGTATTTGTAGGTTTAATAAACAAGTTATTGGAATGAAACTCATTTTTCAACCACTACTCCTAGTATTCTTGTATTTATTCAAAAAATCAATCAGAAAAATCGGAACTTCGTCAGAGAAGAAAAACAATATTGTCAGATAGTGATATATATCCTTCATTCCACTACCTTGGTTGTTCTTTTTTTTCCTATATTTATATATTATTCTGGAATTTCGATTATTTCTTTCGTTATCTGCGTTGGAATTTTTGTTTTCTCTCTTTCTTGGGTGTGGGTGTGGATTTAAATGAAGAGAAGACAACATGCTTCATCCGAGCCCACACCCAATAATACCATCTGATGAGACACTTAAGCAAAATCAAAACTAGTCATGGCTGCTTATTCGTAAACTAGAAAACTTATCGCTTTATCTAATTGAATGCTTTTTTGTTTTTGTTTTTTTTATGTGCATTACACTCTAATATTGGAACAGAAAAAATAATACATTACTTTCATTAATCAATTTCTTTCTTATTAAACGACTTTAATCATCTATTGGATGGATATTATTTTCCATTTAACACAGGGAAAATCTACTTGTTCAGCCATAAAAGCTATTCGTGAAAGTTTTTTCTGAATTGATTCCGGGTGTGCCAAAATGTTTGCAACATTGTTTATTTCACATATATTTCAGCTTATGTAAATGATAAAATCTTGATCTTTTTTTTAAAAGATACACTGTGAAGAGCTCTACAAAAATTGTAATACAAAATCCCTATTGACTTATTCTAATAGTTTTTTCCATAGTCAAAATGAAAAACCTACATAATAGTGTTACTTCTCAGCATATTGTAAGTAATAAAAACATGCGGAAGACTTGTTTGTTCTGTAAATATCTGAACATTGACGATCGATAAGACTTTGATATTTTTTGTAAAAGATGCATCATCGATAGCTCTACAAAAGCGCCATGAACAAACCGTTATTGATATACTCTCTGATAATTTTCCCAGATAGCTGAAAATTAAGATCTACGTTGTGTTTGCTACGTCCGCTGTATTGAATGTTACAGAAATGTCCGAATCATTTTTAAAAGGCTATTTTCTATTTTAAAACAGAAACTTATAACATGTGGGTACGGTCTTTAAAAAGTCCTGTAGATTTTCTTGCTTACAATAAACAAGGTTGATCATAATGATATATCCAAAGATGAACTGTGGTACAATGGACCAGATCAGCTAGAAAAGCTACGATTTCTGATGCCTTTGTTCCGTTTTTGTGATGACTAAAAGCAACATTCATAGATCTTCATTTTCAGCTATCTGGGAAAATTATCAGAGAGTATATCAATAACGGTTTGTTCATGGCGCTTTTGTAGAGCTATCGATAATGCATCTTTTACAAAAAATATCAAAGTCTCATCGATCGTCAATGTTCAGATATTTTGGCACACCCAATAATATAAAACAAAAAATATATATATTCTATATCTTGAAGTTTTATTCTTTAGAGAAAGTCAATCTCTAATCAATCGGACGGTTTGAAGTAATGAAAAAATTTCCAATAATATTCGATTAAACAATGTGTTCGTTTAGTGTTTAACCCTCATTTCGCTTAAAAATAAAAAGTTTATTTAAGATCTTAGTTATAGCAAATAATCGATTTAGTGAGTTCACATCACATATTTTAGAAGATTTCTACATTTTGTGAGAAAATAAATATGAATAATAATGATACACAGTGAACCCTATGTTATTACATTTTATTTAAAACATTTGCACACGTTTTGTTTCTTCCTTCTTTTTGTCGTCAGCATATTCAATAAAATTTTGTACAAACATCATTTTCTACTGTATCGAAAGTTTGTCTCATCCCTAATCAATCATAAGTCAGAGAAATATTTTGATCATATATTCGGAAAGAGTACAAAATTCTGATTTTAGATAACTACTTTTGATCTTCACTAATTATGTTTAGGTGACTGAAAAATGAATAAACTTTTTGTACGAAGACTTATGCAACAGGAGTTAAGATATAAATATTACTATTCGCTAGTTTAGAGCGTCCTCTTCTTTTTCGTTCTTTGAGAATTTATTTTAAACAATCCAATCAAATTTAGAATAATGAGAAAAACCCTTATTTCTTTAAGTGTTGAATCTATAAAGATATAACATTTAACGATTAATTCTTTAATTTAAACATTTTTTAATTTCTAGATGAATATCATTGTTTATTTTTTACGACAATTAAAAAAACAAGTAAGATATGTTTAAAAGAATTTTTAAATTCAATATCGATGTTTAGACATTCGACTTGAATTATTTTGCTCGACATCAATTGATCTTTAATGAAGTTTTTATGAAATTCGAAAGAATTCGAATGAAGGTTTAGTTATTTATTTTATTTGATTGAATTTTTATTAGATTTAAATTTAGATCAATTATTTAAATGATTTATTAATATATAATAAAACACAAAAAATGATTTATGATTATCAAACATCAAATATGGCTTCTTGTGTTATTGACAGTAAACGCTTATTCTTATAGATTTTATTCATGAATATTATTTTTTTTTTTAACAAAAACTAGATAATCAAAGAAACTCTTTGCTTTATAATTCAGTTCTTTTCTCCAAGATCGATTCAACTTCAAATGAACGTGAAAAACTTCTAGATGAAATTCGATCATATCGAAAACAGTTAGGAAGTAAAAATGTAATAGGAAAATCATTAACTGTAGTAAATGGAGAAATAGTGGTTAGATATTTTATTCAATTCTCAACATAGATTTAAAAAAAAAAACACCACATTTTTATTCTTTTAGCAATTTGTCGTTAATGATCGATCACATCCTCAATCGGCAGAAATTTATGCTGAACTTAATCGTTTAACGATTAAACTTCTTGAAGATGGTTATATATTTGATCCACGTTGGATCAGTCGTAAATTACGAAAAGATGAAACTATTATATCTGTATTATGTAGTCATAGTGAAAAACTTGCATTAGCTTTAAATTTGATTCAAAAACCTAGTCCATCTTTTATTCAGATAACGAATAATCTTCGTCTTTGTGGTGATTGCCGTAAGTTTATTTTAGTCGCATTTAACAATATATATATATATTTATTCTTTAGATGAATTCATGAAACGAGTAGCTAAACTTCGACAATGTGAAATTGTTATACGTGATGCAAATCGTATTCATCGTTTCAAGACAAATGGTGAATGTTCTTGCAAAGATCATTTCTAACATGTTACTACTTGTTCTTTGTTTTGATTTTTTTTTTTGAAAAAAAAAACTGTTCATTTTTGATATATGGTTTAGTTCAAAAAAGGACCATTCATTTTCTCATTTGTTGTTATTTTATGAAATAAAAAAAAACATTCTCATTCTCTAACACTCATTTCCTTAGTAATTTTCTCTATTATGAACGAGCTTACTCTTGTTTATCATATAGCACTGTCCAAAATTGTTTCCTCTTCCCTAGGATCTTAGTCCCTATGAGACTTTAATCGTCTAAAAATACGATCATTATGAACTTCATAACTGAAGAACACAATATCCTTTTTAGTCGTCTAACCAGTCATAGAAAATCTACCCGTGTGTATGAACGCCCGTTTGACGAAATTTTCGGAAACTTCTGAGCATCTAGAGAAATTTTTTGAAGAATAGTAGGGGTGCGTCATATTACATGTCGCACTTTTATTTTCTATCTTAGAAGGAATGAAAATATGTGTTCAAATTTTAGTTCTGATCTTGCTGTGTAGAGAATTCATATTTCAAAAAAAAAACATTAGCGGGTTTCTTTTTCGGAGATATCTTTCATTTAGCCATGAAGCTTATTATATGAGAGTATAACTATGATCTCTAATTTCTCTATGGGTAAAAGATGAAGTATGTGAGAATTGATTCATAGAGATCGATGCTCAAAGCTAAGCATTGCACACTAAAAGACAATGAGTCTTTTGTACTACATGTCGGTGAATTTAGTATCAATATGAGTGTTTTGTTCAGGAAAAAAAACTTGCGAACTAAAACTTCAAGGTATTTTGAAGTGTATTATGAACAATAGGCGTGTTCCATGAGAAAGTTCGTCTAGGCTATCTTGAGAATGGCTAAACTTATTGATTTGTCCTTTAGTTTGTAAGAGTTTTTCAACATACTCTTTCTTTTTGCCTCTAGAAAGTTTTTTTTTCAAAACCCTGGTTTTTAGCTGAAGGTGACAAAAAAAATGAGTTTTTCAAAAAACTAAGTGTTAAAAAATTTTTTTGAATATGATATCCAGATTCAGCATCAAAAGATGAACATTATAAACAGTAATTCAAGTGTCTAGCAGAAAAGTTAAACTTTTAAATTTAATTTCAGATTTTACTTGTTTTTGAAATTTGGAATAGTTCAGCTCATATAAGTGATAAAAATTTCGTTCGAAAACCACCGGATAGACGATTAAAAATTGAACAAACATAGGAGTTTGCAAAACTATCACTGTATAAACCGAAGTCACAGATTTTCCATAAATCCTTTCCAAGATGACTCTGAAAAATTTAAACATGCAATAAAATCTCGATTTTTTTTTCGCGGATGGAAATTTGACCCAAATGCCATTCAATCGAGCACATCACGATGCACATGTACAATTCATTTCATCATTCTGGTGGTCATGATGAATTTTCTAGTCATTGTCTCTGTAAGAAATAAAGGCTTTCATTAGTCTGTATAAAGAAAGCAATCTAATTATAAGGAAACTGTATGTGGAAAGTTATTCACAAAGCTAATTTATTCAGTAAAGAATCGATTTTGAGGTAGATAACTAATCAAAGTTAAGAAATCTTTTGTTAAACAACCAAATATTCCCAATAACTTGATTGAGATTGCTATGTACTTGATAAAGTTGTTTATATGAATGTACCAAATTATATGTATTAATCAAGCGTTTAATTTAGTCAGATAAAGTGAAAATTGAACTAGAAATTTCAATTGATGTTGGCTGAAAATTAGTTCACATAGATTTTGAGAAATTGCTGTTCTTTTTTGTTAATTATACTCTTGTTTGGATAGTTTCGATTACCAAAAAATGATTATTTATGCGTTATCATAAACAAACAGAACGAGAAAAAGACAAATTAAGAAATCTTGTTATTAAGAAAAGAAAAAGATTTGTCAAATGAAGACTTTTTACTTGATATTGACGTTTTATCTTTTTAAATTAGCTTTGGTTAGTTTGTTTTCCTCAAGATTTATGAGTCTTTTCTATATAGCAATATTTGGCAGACAGTTCCGCAAAATTTCTTTCCTACTCATTCATTTTCAAAAATTTAGTCAACTTCAAAAAAAAACTCTTCTGATCAGTCTCTTTGATTCTCTCTAAAACAATCCTTCAATATTCGTTTTCTTTTAGCTAATTTAGCGGATGACTAGAATTTTTTGGGAGCTATGTTCCTTGAATTCTATTTTAATTACGTATCTATCGATCTACCTATTTTTTGATTCTAGTTCTGATATAAATGATTTTCAGTTCTAATTTCGAATCCTGCCAGATGTCTTATGTAAAAAATTCATGTACTACAAACGTATTTCAAAAGATAGATTCTACCTTTTATTAAGGCACAGTTTTATTAAAATGCACTTCAAACCTATGCAGTCCTGATTTCGATATAGATTAATTTTAATTCTGACTTTGCTCTCGTCAGGATTAGGACTTTTTTCGATTTTCTAAATCTGATTAATATAACTAATAATCTAATATCATTCAAACCATAGAATCACATATCTCCGATTATGATACAGTTTCATTGTTGTGTAAAAGAGTTTACGTGCAACAAATAAATTGACAAGCGTAATACAATTAATGAATAGACATGTTACAGTACAATGTTTTGTAAATAAATTCTTGTTTATTAATAATTGCACAACTTGAAAGTCTTTAAATACGTATAAGTTTGGATTATTAATTAAGAAACCAAAAAACACTGCTATAAAAGCATATAAAACAGGATCAAAACATATTCTAACGAGTTCCTTAATGGTAAAAAACAAGAAATTGTATGTGTGATTCACAAGCTTAACAATTTATAGTCCAAATAATTCTGAATAAAAAAAAAAGAAACTATCCTGTAAGTCGGCAGATAATTCATCTTGTTTATTTAATTGAACGTCTGTGTTTCTGTTTTAAATTCTCTATCTAAAGTAAAAATTTTTCATGAATCCATTGTATTCATGTCGAGAGTCAGAAATGACTAAATAAAAGGGATATTTCCCTCCTTTGGATCCACTTCTAATTACTTGAGAAATTGGTATTAATTAGACTGATGTGTGGGTGTGGGTGTGGGTGTTCACTTCTCTTTATCCATACTCATACCCGCACCCACACCGACTCTGGTCTCTTTTCGATATTTTTCCCTTAGAATCATTCAGAGAATATTCGTTTCGAGTACATGAATTGTTTTTCGGACAGATAAAAAAGAAATACATGGTAGAGAATAGTCATAAATACATGACCTGTACATCTTTGTCCTCTCATAAAACTTGAAAAACATACTAGATTTTTTAGACTAAGTTTATTTGACTGAATGGTGAATATCTGAGTTTTCGTTAGCTCAAAAGATTTTAATCAACATTCAAGTTAGAATGGTTAAGAATCGATAGAAGTTCAAGAGTGATGATTTAACAGTTGTATAAAGGACCATTCTTGCTAATCCGTCAAAATGGCAATCCAAGCGAGCCGTGAACAAGAAAGCAATAAGATAAAAATCAATGCAGATATCAAGACAAAAGAAAAATATCGCACATTATTGATCAACATCTTTGAAGAAGGTCTCTGAAAGAAAATTCAACCCATTCGTAGTCAACTAGTAAAAACCTTGTCTCAAATATTCAAAGGCATGAACTAACCTTTTTCTAGTTTTCTCTAATGTGCGATAATACCTAACTTGAACGAGACCAATGCTGACTTAAGGAGATCTCTTCTCTTCGAGCTTTTCGGAGAATAGATCATGAGAAAAATTTGAAACTTTCAGAGTAGATAGATCCCGATGAGTAGATCAAAAGTTGTCTGAGATTGAAAATTTTCAATTGGTTTCTTCGCGGAGATACAGGCGTCACAACGACTAAGAACCAATCCCTTCCTCAATTGCACCGTTTTCTCGACCGAAAAACGTCTCATACAGCTGAAATTCTTTTTTATATATCCTAGACACTGTTTGAAGTACCGACGTTTTTTGGTTTCATTTCACTCTCTCTAATAAAAGTTTCAGCTCAATCGAGCATACTGTGCTGAATAAATGGGAACGAATCGGCACTTTTTCTTATGTAAAAGGGTGTGATTGTGGGTGTGGGTGTGGGGCATGGGTGTATGCGTGGGTGTGGAATTTGGGTGTGAATCTTCCGTTCACCCACACCCCACCCACAGCCACACCCGCACCCAGCCACCCACATTCACACCCACACCTCACACCCTAGAAAACACTTAAAGAAAAAGATGATATTTGCAGTGTACCATAGTATGGAGTTTTTGTGTCTAGTTACAGAATATTAAAGCACCACCCAGTCGAATATTATAATTTAAAAACCTATTGATTTTATGCATGAGTGTTCGTAACTTAAAACTTCAGTGAAAAATCTTTCTTTCATTTGAATTACAGTCGATCGAGCGTCGTACTTCGTAATCCTTAGTATTTTATTGAGTTTTGCATCATAATATATGAAGACACTAAGATATCACCTCCCAGATTTCAAGTTCCTCGTATAGTTTTTAACGAAGTTCTGCTATAAACTATGTATTCATACCATAATTGCTTAAGCATAGTCAATGACAATGACAAGTATTTAGGTC